GCATTTAACAAAAAAGTTCAAAAAGTGAAAAAAAAATTCTAAGAACAAAAAAGCTTATAGAATAAGGATACAAAGAAAAAGGCAATTGAGATCTTTAAACTAAATTTGTCCTAGGCTGAGCACAGTGGCTCACACCTATAATCCTAGCACTTTGGGAGGCCAAGGTGAGAGGATAGCTTGAGGCCAGGAGTTCAAGACCAGCCTGGGAAACAAAGCAAGACCCTGTCTCTACAAAAGATAATAAAGAAATAAAGAAATAAATTTCTTCTACTCTTGTCCTTTGACATTGGGGAAATTTGCTATGGGCGATGATACTATTTGAATTACTGTTTATTTTCTTAAGAGTGATGATGTTCTATGTCTCTTTATTTTTAGGAGGCACATACTACATTGTTTAGGCATGAAATTTTATGACATGTACAATTTATTTTTCAATGGTGTTGTGGACTGAATTGTGTCTACCTCCCCCCGCAGACTAAAATTTGTATGTTGAAGCTCTAACCTCCAGTACCTCAGTATGTAACAGTATTTGGAGACAGGGCCTTTGAAAAGGTAATTAAGTTAAAATGAGGTCATTAGGGTAGGCCCTAGTCCACTGGTGTAATTATAAGAGGAGATTAGGACACAGGCGTACAGAGGGAAGACTTTGTGAAAAGGCAGCAAGAGGTGGCCAATCTGCAAGCCAAGGAAAGAGGCCTCAGAGGAAACCAACCCTGCTGGCACCTTGATGTTGGACTTTCAACTTACAGAATTGTGATAGAATAAACTTCTGTTGTTTAAGCCACCTAATCTATGATATTTTGCTATGGCAGCCCTAGCAAATTCATGCAAATGGTTCTGGGGAAAAAAAGAAATAAGAGAGAAAGTAAATATGGCAACATGTTAACGTTGCTGAATCCAGCTGGAGGGTTCATTATATCACTCTGTCAACTTTTATGTAAGTTTAAAGTTTTCCAAAATTAAAAGTTTGGGAAAAATTTCAGATAGATGGATGGATGAATGGATAGACAGACAGATTAGTTCCTAGAGTCACAGTGTGTTCAAATTTCCTTTCATTACAAGGATACCAGTCAGAGTGTATAGGACTCCCCACTATCAAAGACCTCATTTTAATTTCATTACCTCTTTAAAGAACTTATCTCCAAATAAGGTTACATTTTGAGGTGGTAGGGGTTAGGACTTTACATATGAATCTCTAGAGGACATAATTCAACCCATAATAAGATCTTTTCTCATTATTCCTACCCGTATGGTCTTAAGTCATTAACTCAAAAAATTTAATTCTATAATGTCTTGATTACTTTTCTAATTGTTTCTTTTTCTAGAATTCCCAGTATATGTGTGATTGGTCTTCTGAAACTGTCTTCCAGGCTCCCATGAGTTACACATAAGAATTTCCTTTTTTTTTTGGAAGTTTTTCTCTGTCTTGTTCTGTTTTTATTTACTCAACTTGATTTTTCATGACAATGATTCACTTCTCAGCCACAACTATTCCATTGAATTTAGAAATTTTAGTTCCTAAAATTATTTTTGTGCTTTAATTATATTTCCTTGAGCGTTTTCATTACTTTGTTAAAGTTTTCTTTCCTACATTCTATTAATTCCATGCTCAACAGAAGTGGCCACTTACAGTTATTCAGCTTAGTCTTCCGCTCTCAAGTAACTGAATTCCTCTAATTCTTCTTTGCCTATTCATGACTGACTGTTCTCTTAGCATTCAAACAAGTCAGACTACTGGTATCTTTTAGAGAGTGAAAAATCAGCTGGTTATGGAAGACATGGGAATTTTCAGCACCAAGCACCAAACATGTTAACAAACTTAATCCTCTGCTGAAGCACTGGAAGTTTTCTATGAATCTTCCACCGGTTCAATCCCCCTCTGTATGGATTAAAAGGACTGAATTGTCCCTCTAAGCACAGAGCAAATAGGAAGGTGTCACATATTCCAATAGGATTCAAGGATTCTGCCAGTTAAGACCTCGTATGCAGCCTCCTAAGGTTCTGAGAAAAAACAAATCACTACCTTTAACCCTGTGCCTTAGCTTTTGCTCAATATCAAAGAGAATGATGTTTCCCACCTGCAGTCTCTCCTGGATGTTTAAAGAAAACCTCAGAACCCCTTTCTTGGCTATATCAGTTTGCTTGTGTAGGTTATTTTATTGCTCCAACAAGTAGGGGGAAAGAAAAGTAAGAAACGTCGGTTAAAGCCACTGTCTTCCCATACTATCTCCCTTTTCCATCTTCATTGCTTCACAAAGCAGTGTTATCTCCCCCATTCATAATATTATTATTAATATTAATAACAACTAGTCACATTAGCTCATTTAATTCCTACAATCCTAGGAAGCAAGAATTATTTCCATGTTATAAATGAATAAAATGATGTTAAGGAAGTTTAAGTGTTTCAAAGGTTTCAAAGCCAGATACATTTGCATAGAAGTCTATATAGTCTCTTCATAACAAACACTGCCCCCAACTTTCATAAGCATTTGTGTGACCTCAGGCACACAAATCTTTCTGAGCCTCATTTTTCCATCTCTAAAATGATAATGTTAATATCTACCTCATAAGGTTGTTGTACAAACCCAAGGAATGAATGACAACATATAAAGCGATTAGAACAGTGTCTGGCACAAACTGCTCAGTAAGTGCTAGCTATTAGTATTATTATTTGATACCTTTAGCTTAGAAATTTGATTTTTTTTCAAAAAAAGCTTATATTCTCAAATAATTCAAAAGAATCTCAATGATTTGCAATTATCAGCTCCCACCAGTGACTGTTAAGAGTTTTTGTTATTTGTTATTGTTCAACCTGCTTGCTGCAGCATTAAAAAGTTAATATGACTTATAACTATGTCATAAAAGTGGATTCTTTACAACAGTCACTTTAAATCTATTAACTACTTTTTTCATTAGAAT